TGGTCAATCAGAGCACACCTCGCTTTTCAGACCGATGAGCTTTGTAAAAATCGACGCGTTTCAGAAAGCTGGGGCATAGAGGAGAAACAATAATGTACAGTATGTGGAAAATAATGTGTTTTTTTAACCTTAAACCGCATAAACACATTTCATTACACCAAATACACAAAATAATGTTCTTTTTAGCAACATCATACGACCCCTTTAAGGGTGTTGTAGGGTGTATAGGGTGGATGAGGTGCAGGTCTGGACACTGCCATATTAGGTACTGCTGATGTCTGCATTGCAGTACTCCCTCTCTCTCCCGCTCTCTCTGTCTCTGCAGTAACAGTCAGTATCCTTTCGTTGTTCAATTTAGATGCTTTTACCTCTCCGAGACCACAGCGCTCAGTCTAGACCATCTGATTTAACACAGACGCAACACGCACATTAAGACACTTACACACACATCCACAGCTCTCATTGTTACAGACTCACCCTACGTACAGTAAGCTCTAAAATGAAAACACATTTCGGTATGCTATCAGATTTGTCTTTGCATCAGCCACAGAGTGTGTGTGTGTGTGTGTTTATGATTGGCAGGGTTATTTGGATAAGAAGAGCACGTGACATGAGATTTTGAAAAAAGAATGTGACCTTCGTTGGTCTCGCAGTCTGCAAAACTCACCCATAGATACACCCACTGTGTCCAAAAACACAGCTTAGTCTCCTGTCTTTGTACGAGTGCACACTTATATGTGCACATGGGGGGGTGTGTCTGTTGGCATGGCGATTAGCACTGCGGCAGTGTGTCGAGGTGTGTGACTCAGTTGGAGAGGAGGGGTCTGCACTGCTGTGAAACTGCATTGATGAAATTCACTTTAATCAGCATATTTGGGAGAAAAGTGTTGACTGCACATACACTGTCACTCGGCAGGTTAAACACTAAAGGTAGTGGTTTAAACTGCATGTATACATGAGGGTCTGAAGTAATGAAAATGCTTCTATTTTGCATTCTTTTCTAGTTTAATCCAACATTGTGCATTTTAAACAAGAAATAGAACTGCAATAATTAACATTGCAGAATGTCTTAGTATTTTGTTTGTCCCTCTTTTGCTATAATAACAGCAGCATTCAAGCTGCATGAACTCTATAGGTTTGTGTGAAACCTGATGATCATGATTTGAGATGAACCAAACAGCATCTTGTTGTTTAATGGAGGAACATCTTACCGTTTGTGCAAAGAATTCACATGTTCAGTGTCATAAATTTAATTATTTGATATTTCACCTAGAAATAGTGCAGAATATTTAATATTTCTTCATTTCATGTCATGATTTGTATTTGTTTCATCTTTTTTTCAAAATCCTAAAACCTTTTGTTTATTTCCAGGGCTAAATATTAAAAAGATTTTGAAACATTTCATAAAGTTTTATTCAGTTTTAAATATGAAACAATAAATATACAGGTGCATCTCAATAAATTAGAATGTCGTGGAAAAGTGTGTGTGACTGCCATATTTAGTTATTTTGATTAGATAATCATCAAGTGTTCTAAAATAAAAGCAAATAAAGTGTGAGAGTATGCATACAATATCCATATGTATGTAATTTCAATTCGACCCTTTAATGCTAATCAAACAAAACACATTTTTGACAAAGATTAATCTATATTTAATTTATACGGTGAACACTATGCAGTGTTATTTTAAACTTAATTATTACATTTCTGTACCTGAATAAAAAACTTTGTTCTGTTGTATTTATCTGTGCTTGTAATTTGTGTATTTGTTCTTATTTTTTACTGGCTGTTCACTTGTCTTTAATCATGTTTGAACTTTCTTATTTAGGCTAGTAGTTTTTGCTGTGGTATTGAAGAAGTACTTAACTTAAAGTAATAAATGAAAAGCAAAGTTACATTGAAATATTTTTTTTTCTTGCTGATCCAAAAACCGATCCGATCCATAAGTTTTGTGATCCATTGAACCACTAATGGCCTGTCATGGTGGCGTGTATGACTGTAAGTTATGTGTGGCAGCACTCAGTTGGACATGCTGAATGTTTGGGTGGAATCCAGAGAAAGATTTTTGGATGCTTACTACAATAAATACCTGGTAAGCTTCTTGGACTTAAGATATCACCCAGACAGATTAAAGAGTAAAAACTTAAAATGCTTGTCATCTGTAAGTACTCTTGAGAAGAGTTTGACATTTGTGTATTGAAATAGTTTTGATCCAGTAAACTGTCTATCTTATAGGCAAAATATGAGCACTTGCTTGATAGGCACATCTGTGTTTCTTCTGAAATTGATTTATACAGCATGTTTGGATTTGAATCCTATTTAAATCTTTTCTTCATGATTTAGCCAAGACTTGCTGATCTCCATGGATTAAACTGTTATTTGTCAGTTTTAGTGGCTTAAGGATTGTTTAAGTAACATGCCCTTTTTATCATTTTAATCAGAAAGTTAAAGCTGGTCAAAGAGATTTAAGGCCAGTCACAGCCTACAGATTTACATGTTTATGCACTTGCTTGATGTTGTCTCAAAGTTAAATATGCAATGCATAATAGAACTAAGAATTTCACAAGTCTTCAAATACACACGTAATGGTTTACCACTGCTGCACTATAGCCAAAGATATGGCTGCTATAATAATTAAGCATTTTATACTGGTAAATGGGCTTAAAGAGAGTACAATATGGAGTCAGGCATTCCTCCAGGACACCACTTCCACAGGAGCGGCCCAGAGACCAGAAGTGGTTGTTCCATGTCTGCTTTTCCATTCATAGCCCTTAAGATAACTGTAGTGTTTTTAATCAAGCATTAGCATTTTGTATGTTTTATCATGCTGAACAGCACTGATATTTTGTTTTCAGACTAATTATAGTTATAAAATGCTGGAAATGTCTTGTGCATTTTTTGTTTGCCTTTTGCAGTATTTCTGGGAAATTTTAGGGGATTTAATTCAAAGGGATTTAAGGGAATCTTGTTAATCTGAAATTTTAAGATTGAGGATAGGACTAGCTGCAGTTGAGTGTAAATACTTTCAAATGGCTGAAAGTGCTTAAAATAAATCCTTTTTCCCATCTTAAATTTTAGGACTCTTGGCTGGCTGTAAGACTCTTAAAGTATGCACTGTCACTCCTTAGTCTCTGATCCAAACAATTTTAATAGCACCCTCTAGAGGCTAGACACTAATGGCGCTTTTCCACTGCATGGTACGGCACGGTACGGCTCGGTACGGTTCACTTTTGGGGGATTTTCCACTGGGTACAGTACCTGGTACCTGGTACTTTTTTTAGTACCACCTCGGTTGAGGTTCCAAGTGAACCGTACGGTTACCAAAACGCGACGTGTAAACTCTGCTGATCACGGATTGGCCGGAAAGAATCGTCACTACCTGCGTCACTGAACTTGCGACACAAACACAACAGAACCGCTAGATTTAAATCAGCACAGCCAGCGAAGGATCGAACGCAACTGTTTTGAACGAGCGCACCTTTTTTAACAACCAAAAAGTGGTTGTTTCGTGGTCTGTTGAGGAAGTACATACATTCCTCTCGTTGATAGCAGAGGAGCGGATCCAGCGAGAGCCTGATGGGGTGACGCGGAATGAAAAAGTTTTTCAGGAGTTGCGGCATAGGCGGCGTAACTATAACGACATGTAAATAATCCCACCCATTCTAAAGCGATACTAAACTGCAGTGGAAACACAAACCGAGCCGTGCCGTGCTGTACTGAGCCGTACTGAGTCGTACCACGCAGTGGAAAAGTGCCATAACTAAGCAGTCAGGAGGCCATATTTAGTGTAGCAGTAGTTAAAGAAACAGCAAAAGGTTGCATTTGTTGCATGCACATTCATACACTTTGTACACAGATATGACCTACTGCTAAGATGTGTAATGCATGATAAATAAGATATGTATATGCCTCTCTCAGTCTAACCTTACATAACATTGTGCAATATGTTTGTAATATTTTTGTGTCCCTTGTAAATTAGGTCCCATTTTGCTAGGAAGGAACATAGTGGTTATGTTTTGTTTGTTTTTGTTTGTTTTAGAGTTCTCACCTGGCGATGACTGACACTTTGATGATGGCGTACACAGTTGAAATGGTCAGTGTGGAGAGAGTGCTGACCTGCATACAGAAATTTACTCCTTTCCTTCCTGAGGAAGACTTCCCTTATGATGCTGAAGAGGCCGTGACAACATGGATCAGCAAGGTGAGATCCCTACAGCTCACATTACAGTGTGTAAACATATTGCTTACATGTGAATTTTAGATAATTTCAGAATGTACTTGTTTCTTATTCATTTTGTTGCCCAAAAATTGCCCAAAATGCTTTAAACCTACGATACCATACAATCAGCTGTGCATCGCAATGTGAACTTGTTCACACTTTTCTGTGTTTTGTGATTGATTGCATCGTGTTGCATTTCCATTCTCAGTGCAGAGAGACAAATGGCTTGTTGCTGGGACTTTGTTATGGATGGTTGGAACTCAATGTTAAGATGCTTTCATGCTTTTTGATGTGAAAGCTGTTTTCAGAACTCTGTGTAGGAAACAACAAAATAGGTTCTGCATGCACTAAATTTAAAAAACATCTTTGAAAACAAAAATGAAAAATCTGAATGCATGCACAAAATTCTGTCATCATTTATGTCATGATTCCAGTCGGTGTTCCTCTGTCTTCACTTCTTGTGCTTAGTTTCTGTTTCCTGTTCCACCATGTTTGTTGTCATGGTGATTAATTTGTTCCACCCCCTTGTTAACCTTGTTAGCCCTTGTATATGTACCCCTGTGTTTGCTGTGTTCAGTGTCATTCAATCTCTGTTCCTGGTGTAAGCTCCTGTTCCGTGTTTGCAAATGGATCCTCCGCCTTGTGTTTCCATGACTTTCCATGACTACAATTTACTCACTCTCATGTCATTTCAAACTTTCTTTTCTTTTGTGGAACACAAAAGTAAATGCAGGTTTAGAACAACATAAGCTTGAATGAACTAATAAAGTCAATTTCGGCAGGTAAAGTCAGTATTCATCTTTATTTGAGATTATGTTGAATTGTACATTTACACATTTTCTTTTATTTTTCTTTTATTATTCAGGACTTTTTTATTGCATATGCACAAATCCTGTCCTCGTGTTATCGTTTTATACAAACTGTGGTCACCATAGTTAAATGTTTTAAAATTATAGTAAGAAGAAGAATGAACTATTTTTCAGAGACTGGTTAAAATGAAGTCTACATCTGACCTGCAGGACATATGCATTGATTTATAAGTAAACTTTTTTTCACATGGGCATTTGATTATCTTTTCATTATTATTATTTTCCATATTTTGCTGTATTTTTCTTCAAATCTTCCTACGTCAACAATATTTCCCTTCTCATAACATTCAAATTCCTGATCTGCCATTAGTTGTATTTTCCCTTGTGGCTTTTGTATTTTTTCTTTCTGTACTATTGGACATTTACGGGTTCGTATGCACTGTAGTTCAGTTGCTTCTCTGTAGTTTGTTGTAGATTGGAGAAACTGGCACCAATATGGGCAATATGCCATTTTTTGGGTACAGTTTCTAAAGACATTTATCTCTCTGCCTCACTACATCTAACCATGGGGTGCATTAGACAGTCCTGGACATTTCTTAAACCATTCATAATGAAATATTCTACAACTAGAACTGTGTATAGGTATTGGTACAATATATAAAATTGGTCTTGCTTCAAAGCAAACTATGCAGTTTTCCCATTTCTCTTTTCTGCTGTGTAATTTCGCATTGATACCAATTATTGTCTTCTGCCTTTTCCCATAATATGTCTGAATTGCCTGTTCTCTTATAAGTAATATTATGGTTGTCATTTACAATGTGTCTATTTTTTCTAGATACTTTTTCCTCCTTATCTAGTTCTTGTTTTGTTCGGATTAACCCTCTGGGGTCAGAGGGTGTTTTGGGGCGCTGGAGAAGTTTTGACATGCCCTGACATTTGTGCTTTTTTCAGTTGCTTATAAACATTTTAATGGCTAAAGTTTAGTAGCACCATAATCAGCACAAACTGGGCTACAATAATATGTGGGCAGCATGTATGTATGTGATTGTGTTTTTGAGAAAACAACGTTTATGCGTGCTTAGTGAAAAACTAAAATTTTAAAGTCACTGAAATAAGGCCATAAAACACATACAGAACATTTGTTCACAAGACTTTTGAGAACTGGTTCTTGAAGTCTAGAGTTTTTGCTTCAAAATTATGTGAAAATCATCTTACTCACTCATTCACAGAAAACAATATATTGATTTAAATTTTCTAAGACACATTTTGTGTAGAAAAGGAATATGCGAGGGGGCGTGAATGGTCATGGATAATGCTGTGATTCACACCTGAGAAGACAAAGGCCTGCATAATGAGCCTTTCAGTCAGGTGTGTGACTGAGAGGGAATTGCTACAAGAAAGAATATGAGGGAAAAAAAATATATATTTTTTGTTTGTAGTTTATTTAGAGTATATATAACTATCACATCATTTTGGGAGTGTGTGCATCACATGGTCTTAGCTAGGGCTGAACGATTAATTGCATTTGCGATAATATCGCGATATGAAAAATTTCGATTTTTCAATCGCAGAGGCCACGTCATGGTCACGTGTCACGCGAGAGTAAAGAGGTGTGTTCGGCTTGAAGATCAGATCGGTGTATGACATCAAAGTACGGCGAGCGAGAGAAAGCATAAGGAGACATCCGCGCTCTCTTATAACTCTGGCAGTACTTTGATGACACACACCCATCGGTCTAAGCAGCGCTGCTTCAAGTCGAGCGCGGGCCATCAGCAGAAAAAGAAAATAAATAAGTAAACAGCCAAAGGACGTAACTTAGAATGGGAGATGGATCGGTTTGTGAAAGCGAAGAGAAAAGCCATAGATGAAGTCGCACAGACCCAGGCAGATGCTGGTCATTCAAATGCTAAATGCAGAAAATATGACAAGGCATATCTTGATCTCGGCTTCACTCACCGTGTCTATACCGGAC